GGAGTTTAGTAGCGCTACGCACTGAGTTTACTACCGCCTATGTTCGGAGTAATTCCCGTGTCTCCTATGTATGATATGAAATCTTGTTTTTTTCATTGATTTACATACAAAATATTTGTTCACGACACACACTTATTGAGATTTTTTTTTTTTAATCTCACCCCTTTAAGTTTTCCCCTGTTCAGAAAATTGAGATCGTGAGTTTGTGGTTGGTAATTCGGTCGATGATGGTAGAAATTTTATTTTCATTAAAAAGGGAATCTTTTTCTTTTCTTTTCTTTTTTCAGATTTCAAATATGGTTTATGGTTGGGAATAAAATGTTCTTACATTTTATTTTATCCTTGAAAGACAATTATTTTTATTGATGAATAAATTGATGTTAATTTTATCTCTTTGTGCTCGATATGTATTTATTCTTTTGAATTAGTAAAAATTTGAGTTTTCGAGAAATCGGATCGTTACAAATGGTATCAGAACCCGGTTGCCAACCGAAAATCGGGATATGCAGGACAAAGTGCTGCGCCATATGGCGGGAGCCACCTCTTGAACCCATGGGAGCCACCTCTAGATACCCAACGCTTGGCAACGGATCCTCATATGGATCAAGCGCAACGAGGACGTCGCGAGATTAACAGGAGATGATTGTAATACTTAAACCAGGAAAGCTAAGATTTGATATGTACTACTCATACCAATTAGGTGTATCTTCTTTTCCGGAAATCTATCGTTAGAAACTCTACAGTTAAGCGTACTTGGTTTGGAGCAATTCTATGATGGGTGACCCCTTGAGAAGTTTTCTTGGGGAGCGTGGGAGCGAGGATAAAACATGCTGAAAAGACTCATGTTGATACAATAGGAACATTACGTCGTCGATCTAATGGACGGAAATGGGACCCGGGTCGTTTCAAGACGACTTGGGCAGAAATGGAAATTTAAGGTGTGCTACCATCCAGGTACAATGATTAGACAACCATTTGGCATAAAAACACATCAAGACCAACTTGCAGCAATATTAAGGCTATGTTTGACACCCGTTTTTGTCCAAATTTTATTTTTTCTACAGTAATGGCCAGTACCTTTTCTGTCAATTCATCAGAGTTTTGTCCCCTAACACCCTGCGAGAAGTGACCTTTTCTGCCAGTGTCAATTCTTCTTTCCAAAAATGCCCTTCAAAGTTGGTGAAAAGGATGAGAGGATTTTTGGGAAATTTCAATCACAATTTGAGGGCAAAACTGGAAACAAGTTTCAACGGGAATAATTTTTTAAAATTGGAATTCTNCTGCCAGTGTCAATTCTTCTTTCCAAAAATGCCCTTCAAAGTTGGTGAAAAGGATGAGAGGATTTTTGGGAAATTTCAATCACAATTTGAGGGCAAAACTGGAAACAAGTTTCAACAGGAATAATTTTTTAAAATTGGAATTCTGACACATTCTCATGATTTGGTGAGTTTTGTATGAAGGAACTGTAGAAAAACGAGTTTTTCAGCCAAAAAACGGGTGTCAAACAGGCACTAAGTTGAATCATTTAGAAGATTGGTACCAACTAATGATAACCATTTGGCATAAACAACACATAAATTCAAGTAGCAGGAATATTGAAATGAAATCAAATTCTCTTTCAGAAAGATGGTTCATCTAACAAATTATAACAATAGCTGACCCGGCATGTAGGTTTGGAACAAGTTCAACCAGTCATGATTCTTCCAGGATTTCATTCAATATGTCGATTATGTGCCTTCTTTACAACAAGACCAACAAACCTCCACGGTAAAGCTCAAGCTATTTGTTTTACCATTTTTTTTTTCCCTTTTCCACACAAAACAACAAAATGTTTTCTGAAGGTTCAACTATTCCATTCCATAGTTGGTCCCATTTTTTCAATAAATCCATCAAGAATCACATAGCACTATCATGAAATTATAAGGATTACAGTTGTTCAGTGAATAATCATATTATCAAACTGCAGCAGCACATTATTTCAATTGAAATTGGCATCACAAAAACACTTGAAATAATTAGGTCCTCAATTCTACAGTACAGAGAAAAATAAAAGCTTCCATTTCACAAAGAACCTATTATTTTGATTGTTATTCTAATGTTTTTAAGCAAAAATGATAGGAAATCCATTGAGATTTTATTTAATTAAAGATAAATTTACACTAATAGGTACAATAATCACAAAACTAAAAAACATCTGTATCAGGATGCAAAACAAATCCCGTGAAAAATACTCATCATTACCAATCCCCATCATGATCTACAAATCAAGTCTCAGAAGCAATCCTTAAAGCCTTGGTCTTGAACCTGTACCTAGGGTTTCTAGGCACAACCTGACTCGGACCCATATGGAACTGACCCGGACTATCCGTCATGGGCGCACCGTCATCGTAAATATACCCGACGAGTTTCCCACAGCTATTGCACTTGATCTTGGTGCGTTTCCTTTGAATGCCCCAGTAATTAATAGTCTCGAAAAAGGGCCGGATTTTGTCTTCTTTATCGAACTTAAATTTGGAAGAATCGACGACAGAAAACGAGAGGGTACCTTTGTTGCCGGCCTCGAAGTAGAAATCCGGCGGGTAGAGGTAGCTGGAATGAAGATTTAAATTGGCTCCGCACTCTTTGCAGCAGTAAATCGACGCCATCACCGCTCCTCTGAAGCAATATTGTTGAAAATTGGATCAATCATCGGAAGAAGAATAGGGGAGGTTTTGAACTTCTCATTAAAGAATTTGAAGTTTCAATTCAAAGGCGTGTTGTGCTGGACTGCAAATCGTAGAAATTTCTATATTCTAGAAGGATTTTACTTTGACATCTCGGTTTCCTGTTTTCAATTTACTATTATTTCATCCCTCAGTTTCAAAATATAATTTTTATGTCCTTCAATAAAATAATATAAAACGAAAATTCAAAATTTTTTCTTATCATTTAACTACACATTCTACATCAAATTACTATTTCAAAATACATTTTTAGCCCAAAAACGGAACTTGCGCTGACTCAATGTGTGTGTGGGTGTGTATTTGAGTTTGTAACCTTTTAAATTGATAGTAATAAGAATTTTACTACAAACTCAATGACATGTGAAGCCCCCGTTTGAGCTATATTAGAAGTCACATTCTTATATTTCTACTCATTTTCAATCACAAATTTTTCAATAAAATAATATTTTTCATCATATTAATAACTTTTCCTTCTTTTTCAATCACATATTCTCCATCAATGCACTATTTCAAAATATATTATTCCATAATAATATGACTCAAACACACCCTTAAAAATAAAGGGACACGTGTCGATACTTGATTTAACAATTTTAAAAAAAATACAAACACTCAAACAAATACCATGATTATGGGTATTCCATATCAACGGATAGTTAAAATTTGGGAAAATGCTCTTAATCCCAATAATTTTGTAATACAATTTTGTTGATCAAGAATTGAATTGTCATTGGTCAAAATAATAACGTCAATAAAACTTCAAGGGACGCATTTATAAATATAACGCAACAACGTCAACAAGTTGGAGGAATTTAATAAAAACCTTCAACACACAAGTTTAGCAAGTGCACAAAGTAATTGGTTATTTTGCTGGTTAAAATCGTGAAGGATTGACTTTCAACTAACTAAAAAATATTTATTATGTCCTTAAAATTTCGAGTAATAGGAATAAAAACAAGTTAAATAAATCAATTCCTACTCAAACTAAGAAAACCTTTACTCCTCTTTAGTTCTAGTTTGATCAATTATCTAAGGGACTCTTTGTTAAAACACCTAGTCAAACAAAGTAATTGGAAAAAAGACCAATCCTCAATGTTTATTGGTCATATGGCCTCCATTAAAAAATATAATAAATAAACATGGAAAAATGTCTAAAATACCCTCAACAAGTAAAAGCCCCATACACCCTTTTCATCCAATCAAATTCACCAATTCACCTCTATCAAAACCAACNACTAACTAAAAAATATTTATTATGTCCTTAAAATTTCGAGTAATAGGAATAAAAACAAGTTAAATAAATCAATTCCTACTCAAACTAAGAAAACCTTTACTCCTCTTTAGTTCTAGTTTGATCAATTATCTAAAGCATTTAAATTTTGAAAGTACAAAAAATAAAATAAAAAATAACACCATAAATTCTTTTCAATTTAGTCATTGCTCTTAGGGTCCGTTTGATATGTAAAAGTGGAAAGGAATTCTAATTTCATGTTAGTTGGAAAATAAAAACTTACCAAATCCATCGGAATTCGTTTTCCATGAACACAAAGAAAATACATCTTAAAGTGGTTGTATCTTGGAATTCGATTTTTATTTCTACGTTGCAATCAAACGGTTAAAGTGAAATTCATTTTTCTAGGNCCAAAATCATTCTCTTACCAGGCTGTCTGGCCAAATTTCCCATTATCTAAAGCATTTAAATTTTGAAAGTACAAAAAATAAAATAAAAAATAACACCATAAGTTCTTTTCAATTTAGTCATTGCTCTTAGGGTCCGTTTGATATGTAAAAGTGGAAAGGAATTCTAATTTCATGTTAGTTGGAAAATAAAAACTTACCAAATTCATCGGAATTCGTTTTCCATGAACACAAAGAAAATACATCTTAAAGTGGTTGTACCTTGGAATTCGATTTTTATTTCTACGTTGCAATCAAACGATTAAAGTGAAATTCATTTTTCTAGG